CCTCCCCCGGGCTGACCCCGGTCCCGCCCCGCTCTCCCCCACAGCCCAGGGCACTGGGAATTAATTACCTCATTACCTGGTAATTGTACCAGCCAAAAAAACCTCAGCAGGATGGGAAAATACTGAGGTGCGGTACGATTTACTAGATGGTCTTTATAGAGTTGTGCGCAAGCAGCTCCTTTCTCTTCATAAAGTCACGAAAATTTGCTAAAATAGACCCAAAGTGTGGAAGTCCTGGAGCTGTTCTTTACCCTGGGCAAAGAGGGGGTTCAGGGTGGCAGCTTTTCAGCTCTTCACAAGGGAGTAAATCCTGAGAAAGGCCACTGCTTAAACTTCTTGATAAGCTACGGATCGGCGTTAGAAATCACGTTAACATCAAACCCAGCCTGAGAGAAATTTAAGCTCTCATTTTAAACCTAAGTCCCTCAAAAAAAGAGAACTGGGGGCACCTTCTTCTGCAGAATTGGAATTGCACAAAGCTGCTCATGAGCAAAACCTGTTTTTTCTGCTGTTACCACTGCTGGAATAAGCACAGCTATTCTGTGTATCAGCAGTGCCTTTAAAGGTGAATATTGCTAATTTCTCACTCAAATTGTTAAACATATTCCACAATTTGTCATCAATATTTCGCAAACAAAGCAAAAACTACTCAGCTTCAGTCTAGCTCAGGATGCAGAGCATCTTAAATCAGTTGCTCACAAAACTTCGGTCCTCACTTGGGCAATTAACAGTGAGTGCTCTGCTGTAAATGAGTTACACAGACCTGGGATCCTTTTCCAAATGGCATTAAGTATGACAGAGCAAGAAGACAATCCTGTACAGGAACACTTGCTTAAAGAAGGATTAGAGTTGCAAAGGAGAAGCCCTTCCTGAATTACCGGAATTCTGACCCAACAGTGGACTGAGAACACAATTAGCAGATGGGGAGGTGGAAAATGTGTAGAACCTGGCAGCCTATTACAATCTTTTATGACCTTGTTTATTCTGGTTTGAGGCTTAAATATGAAACAGTACAAAGTTACTAGAGTTTACAGACACACAAAATATTAGTTACTTCAAAATTAGGAGGAGGAGGAGCAAGGCTTTACTTTCACATACAAGTAGGTTTGGTTTGGTTTTAAAAGTGTCCAGGGAAGTCTTTGACAGCTGCATTTATCAAGCCTAAGAGTAAGCTTTGTGTGTTTTCTGCCACTGAATCTTCTGAAAGTCTGACAAACATATTAGGGATGATCTTAACACAGAACTGACAGTATTTCGATGAATTAATACAAAACTGGGTTATAGTTACACAAACAGATGCTAATTTTGAACTGTTGCTCAGAAACACGTGGCATTTACTGCAAGAGCTTGCTCTTCAGCTTCTATGAGAAGCATTCAGGAATCCACTAGTGATATTGCAGTAGAGACTTTCTTGCATGTCAACATCCATCCTCACCCAGAAGGAAACATAAGAAATATTTTTCTCCCTTCACCTTTGCTGCCATCTTCATTCTTCTGTTCTTCAGTGTGGACACAGGTGTCGGTCCCAGCTCACGAGTAGTCTGTTGCTGTTCAGCTTTCTGAACCAGTCTGTAATTTACTGCCACTTTTACCTTCTTTAACTTTCTTTTTTTCCTTAATATTTTCCTTTGTAGTTTTCCTATGAGAAACACATTGGACATAAGACATCTGAATATAACATATGAAGTATATAGCAGTGACAGGGACATTAGTTAGTTTATATTATATTAGTCCAGCTGAACATAAATCCTGCAGTAGCCACACTCCAAAGCACAGGTAATAAATAGTGTTCTTTATGACTTCTACTATACCAAACAGCAACACACCAGTTTCTGTGAGCTCTGGCCATTACAACTCAAGTTCTGCTTCTTGTATTAATATTCCATGCATTAAAAACAAAGCCAGACCTTTGCCAGAAGAGAAGCAGACATGTTCTGTCAAATGATGGCTAGTCTGAAGCCTGGCTTCACACCTGATCCATAGCACCATGTGAAACAAACTGGTGGCATTAATCCAATTTCCAGTAGACAGATATTGACACTAAAACTTCACCATCACTAAAATCATTATGACTGGGTGGTCCATCCAAACAAGTTATTTTGGAGGAAGCATGCTGGGCCTTTCCTGGACAAAGGGCATCTCTTACCTCCTCTTGAGAAAAATCTACTTACGTTTTTCTTTTGGCTTTTTTTAAGAAGCACTGAGGGGTGGTACAAATGGATTCTCTTGTCAATGGTTTCTTAATGAATTTCTTCTTTTGTTTGCTGAGAACATTTAGTAAAGAAGGATTAAATGATGTTAAAGGGCAAAAATTAATACTCAAAGTAAATAAAACAGGTAACTAAATCCTTTACTAGTTGGTAGGGATTTATGGGCCTGAATATATTTTCAGTGTTGTTTATTCAGAGGTTTGTTCAGCCACGTTATCTCCCAGACATTCAAACAATCTTTATTTGAACATACAAGTCCAATATGTGTGTGTATATATATGGATTTATAGTTTTAGAAACTATTAGAAGTTATTAAAAAGCACGAAAAAGCACGAATTAAAAACCTATTTATCTATATGCATACACCTCAATACTGATTTTTCTAAAGGTAACTCAAAAGAGTAAAGTACTTTCTTTCATGTATCAGAAGCCAAATTAATGAGTATGGGCCTAGCAGGTCTAAAGCAGATTTCAGGGAACTTACAGAAAAATAATTAACTCCAGGAAAACCTTATGTTGAGAATTCTTTTTGTTTCCATTTCTGAGTAAAAAACTCTCACAACTGCCCTGTCTAAAGTTCTTGTTGCAGCTAAACTGCAACTGTATTGCAAACAACTAGATCTTTTGTAACCCTTACACACCCAGCACCACTCACCCTCACTTTTAAAATGGGAAACAAATTGGTAAACTATTCAAATGAACATACCTTTGCAGTTTGGGCAAGTGTTTGAGGTAGTCTGGCACAGGACAGCCAGCTCGCTGAATAACACTGGCTATGCTGGAAAGGAGAGGAGGGAAGAGATTAACTCTGGCAGTGAGTGCCTGGACAATAGATAAGCTGCTTCTGTGGAAAACAGCAATCCCTAACAAATGGCTGTTTTGTTGTGGGTTTTTTGAAGCAAGAAATACTTATGTGAGTCTGAAGTAAAGTGAGGAAGAAACAAAAAGACTTAAAAGGTTTCAATGAAATGAGTGACTCCATTTGGATAGCTCAAACAGATTGAAACTCTAGAGGTGGGGACAGTCTTGAAGGAGATAAAGAAAAAGCAATAAGCCAAAACAGAGAATCATACCAAGGAAATTTGGACACAAGGAAGTTAAAGAACTGGATTCAAAAACCTGAAGCACAGCATGAGGTAGTCATACTTTATGTGGCAAATGATTCAGGAAAACCAGAACAAGAGCAAAGTTAGTTGGAAAGACTGTTGGACCTGTCCTTTGGAGAGGTTCCCATCAAAATAATTGAGTTTCACTGAAAGATGCTACCAAGTAAGCCATGGTGCCATGGTGTTATCATTACTGACAATGTGACTGAAAAGTGACAGGATGCTAGTTTCTCTCCTGCTG